TATAAAGAATATATAGTCCACACATCAGAGAGGCAGCCGAATCACACTTATGGATCGAGGTCAAAGGTAATCATTCAAGATGGTTTGATTTAACACAGTTTATGATTAAACATCAACATGATTTTTGATGTTAAAGTTTGGCACCCTCCAGAGGTAGAGGAATTGCAAGGTCTTTATACAGTTATGAAATATCAAACCATGGCACTAAATATACACGAGAAAAACAAATATTTTGATAAAAAATAAAAATGCAGCACAGATAGGGATATCTAACCTATCTAATATTGGGTCTTTCTAATTTACAATAGTAGAAAGTTTTGTAAAAGAAATAATGGGGAATAATTTATATTCCATTCAAATTAAAGTTTCTGAATACAAGTTTATGGCATGGTTTTAATAGTCAATTAAAACTAAAACTACAACCACAAAACATGTTTGTTACTTACATTAAATAAAATAAACCAAACCTTAAACTTATTTTATTTTAAACAATTTGTTGTACTATAACTAAAGCTAAAACTAAACTGAAAACTATATACTAATAATAGACATAAAAAAATACAACTAATAAAAATAAATAAAAGTAATGAGCTATTAAAATGTCAAAACATAAAATTTAAATAAAACAGGCTTAAAAATAAAACTTAATTCAAAAGAGTAGGCTAATACAAGCGATAGTCAGCTATAAAATAACACCGGTTTATGTTCTTCTATGCATTATTTTGGCACGTTTGCATGTTTTAAAGCAGGTCGTTAAATCAAAGGGACTTTGGTTTAATAGCCATTTAATTACTAAGCATTTTCTGCTCATCACGATTAGGCCTGCCACAACACTGAAATCAACAAATATGCTAATAATGTTTTAATGGCTTTTTTAAAAATGACAATCTGAGAGAAAAAAAAAACATTTCTGGTCTTTCCAATCCACACCTTTCCAGTTAAGAAAAATTCTGGAACCCTGAAGAGCCCACCCCCTTCGCGGTCTTCTAAAATCTTATAGGTCAATTACCTGTCAGTCATCAGAAAACAGAACGCCTATTGGCTAGCTAGGCAAAAAAAATTAGGTGCTTTATAAAATACGTCTTCCAAACTGCTGCACATATCATCGCATCGGGGGTGCGGGAAGTGCAGGATTTCCTGGTTCTGTTGCTTAACTGGACACATCCAAGTTTTAGATTCGCAGAGGTACCTAGCTCATTTTAACATCCATCGATTTAATGTCTTAATCAAAACCTTCTCATCTGTACGTGCCCTAGACTACACCTTGCCGTAGTTAGTCTGAAGTAAGTCATCAAAGATGTCCGAAGCCACAGTGGCCGATACTCGTCGGTTAAACTCTAAACCGCAGGACCTTACGGACGCCTACGGGCCTCCCAGCAACTTTCTGGAAATCGACGTGTACGACCCCCAGACTATAGGAGTCGGCCGCAATCGCTTCACCACTTACGAAGTCCGAATGAAGGTAGGCTGGCCCAGTGAATGAATGTGATTGTGTGTTTGTGTCAGAGAGTCTGCGGCTCGGTTCGGCCTAGCTAACGTTAGCCTGCGCGCTAATGCTAACTAACACCTCACTCGACGTGAAAGAATCTTATCCTTCGGAAAACTTCTAAAAACGGGACTTTATTGTATGAGCTGTTAGGTTTTTGGTCTAAAATCGGTTTTCTATGTGAGCAAGTTGGGTTAAAGCAGTTTTGGCGGAGAGAGATTGAGCTAATTTAGCTGTTGTTGTTACTCTGTCAACCATCAACAACCTCTAGCCAGTTGCATCTAAGCCATTAAGATAAACATTTGGATGCGTTACTGTTCCAAATGCATCATTTAGTTGTTTTAGTAATACCTGTCAATGTGTGTTAGATGAATTCGAGAACATTCTGCATCGTGTACACCGCTAAGATATGACATTATTTAATAATCATGTGACTTATTCTGCTTTCTCCGGT